AGGCCTGGGAGGTACAGCGACGTGACTGCGCGCGGTGGAGGTCAGCCTAAATGACTGCACGGCCCTGGAGGTCAGCCTGACGTGACTGCGCGGCCCTGGAGGTCAGCCTGACGTGACTGCACGGCCCTGAAGGTCAGCCTGACGTGACTGCACGGCCCTGGAGGTCAGCCTGACGTGAACGCGCGGCACTGGAGGTCAGCCTGACGTGACTGTGCGCGCCCTGGATGTCAGCCTGACGTGACTGCACGGCCCTGAAGGCCAGCCTGACGTGGCTGCACGCGCCCTGGAGGTCAGCCGTACGTGACTGCGCGGCCCTGGGGGTCAGCCTGACGTGACTGCGCGCGGCCCTGAAGGTCAGCCTGATGTGACTGCACGGCCCTGAAGGTCAGCCTGACGTGACTGCGCGGGCCCTGGAGGTCAGCTGATGACTGCGCGGCCCTGGAGGTCAGCCTGACGTGACTGCACGGCCCTGGAGGTCAGCCTGACGTGACTGCGCGGCCCTGGAGGTCAGCCTGACGTGACTGCGCGGCCCTGGAGGTCAGCCTGACGTGACTGCACGGCCCTGAAGGCCAGCCTGACTTGACCGCGCGGCCCTGGAGGCCAGCCTGACGTGACTGCACGCGCCGCCCGGCAGTGGCGGTCAGAAGCAGCGAGTGAACCTGGCCCGCGCCGTGTACGCCGACGCCGACATCTACCTGATGGACGACCCGCTCAGTGCCGTCGACAGCTCCGTCGGGCAGCACATCTTCCATCAGTGCGTTCGCGGAGCGCTCCGCGACAAGACCGTCGTGCTCGTGTCACATGGGGTGCAGGTGAGACCCGGACGGGATGATGTCGCACTGGATGTCGCAGGTGAAGGAGCGAGGCGCAGAGGGCGTGCGGGATTATGTCACACAGGGTGCACGTGGGACGATGTGGTAGGGGATGCAGACGGGATGGTGCGCACGCGGTACATGTGGAGGAGAGGGGCGAGGTCGCACATTCTGCATATTATGTCGTTGGTGGATATGTGTCGCTAAAAGTGCGGGCGTGGGAGAAGTGAAGAGTGCCGGAGAATGTGTCCCATGAAAAGTAACTGGGTCGTTTTACAAATGATTCAGGTGCGGCATGTGCGAATGTGAGTGGGTAGAGTAAGCGGTGCAGTGGCCAGACTGAAACTCTCTCATTAGTTTCATTAGGACCTCGCCATTTCTATAAAAATGCGTCATTTCATCCCAATTTTGCTACACAGTTTCTCTCATTTTTGCATTCCTTAGACCATCCTCACGCCCGCTACACCACACAACCTTTATTTGTAGACGACGTCGAAAATTGGGCGTGAATGGGTCTGTGTTAAAAGCATTCCACTGTTTTTTTAGTCAAGTTAATTCAATTTATTTCATAATAAAACCCCTTGTAAATGTGGGGCACTCCCTTTAAACACTGCATTCGAAAACAAATCACGATTTAAAACATTGTAGTCCGATCGGCGAACTTTGTAGGCTGATGGCACGTGGCGGTAAATCAAATAATGGCTCGCAACAGCAATGACAGCAGGTGTGCCGTAATTCACGAAATCGCAGCTTATGGTGCGAAAGTGCTCAAAATAGATAAAAAACGAGATAAACAATGTAAAGGTGGTTGCAATGCTAAAACTGAGCACAGGAAACCAAAATCTCTCATCGTTGCGCTTTCACTATTTTCTGGGTCGCGTAACGCACCTTAGGCATCCTGTGGTCACATCACTTGAGGTAGGATTACCAGACTGGAGACAAAGTCGCGATCGAAAGTTCTGCAGGGCAGGCTCAAACGTTTGTTGGTGTTGCAGATATAGTCCCCGTATCCATAGTAGGATATCAAAATGTCGACGTTTTAACTAACCATAGCCTTAGTCCACTTCTTGCAGAAAAATCACCTCGTCATGTGATTATATGAACCATCACCACTTTCGCGCTCAACAGTACAATCGTGCCGGAGGCCTATGGCGTGGTACACCAGTCGTTTTGCACGTACACAGGCTTATGAGCGGGAAAGCTTGGTCATGAAACGTTGTCAGCGTGTCGTATTTAAATGGATTTGGCACACGGCCGCTTCTGGAGGATACAGCCTACTCCAGCTATGTTCACCGACCTTAACGGAACATTTTGCAGCACGTGGAACATTTAGCGTAACGGGGAGCGTGTTCATCGCCATGTAACTGTTCACCATATGTCATGTTAGCATGATCAACACTTCTGGCATCATTGTCAAACAGTGATGGGGTCCAGACAGCGTCCTGACCCCGATGGAGCGTGTGCATCTGCGGGATTGCGTCCCCTCACATTGGTCCCTGCCGTGTCTTGCTCCAGTACCTGTCGCGGTGTGACGAGGTGCTGTTCATGAACGGCCGGCTAGCGGAGCGGGGCTCGCACCAGCAGCTGATGGAGCTGGAGGGCGACTACTGCCAGCTGGTCAGCTGCGACGCCGCCAGTCAGCAGCAGCAGAAGCCGGCCGAACAGGCCCAGGAACCAGCAGGCGCCGATGGTATGCACTGCGATGTCAACATGCGACGTGGTGTGCATGTCAACGGTGGTAAACACACCGTGAACAGTGCGCCGCCGGAGGGTGTGACTTTCGGAGCGATGACGACGGGGTCAGAGCATGGTCAGAGCATGGTCAGAGTACGGTCCGTGGCGGGCATCGTATCAGGAGGTGCGAAGCGTGCTGGGATATTAATAGCGGATGAAGGCTACGTCACGGAAAATAGCAGAATACACGCGGCTTGCGGGGAAGGTGTCGGCAAAGGCCGCTGGCTGAGACTAGGCTGGTGGTAACGGAGGCTGGGGCACTTGAATGCGTCGGCGAAGGAGAGCTATGACGAAGAGTCATCAGGGTGCTGACCATGGCCGGCGTATTAACGGTAGTTTATCGGCTATCTGTCGGCAGGTGCTATTGTCAGAATGGTGGTACCCTGGTCTTCTATTTTATTTTCAGAAACAGGAACAGCAGGCGGGAAGTTCACATCAGATGAAACGTTCGGCTCTACCATCGGTCTATTTAAGAATTTCGCCGCCTATTATCAGGTATTATTGCGGTTGGAATCTGCAGGTAAAACTTTGTATCTCGTTTCGGTGTCTTCTTCCCAACAATTTGTCTTTACCCTGCCCACGTTGAACCCTGATCATCAGAAATATTACCCAAACATCTTTTTAAAAGCAAATTCTTACTATCCTTGTAAGATGTGCATTTTACGTCAGCTGTTCAGTGCATTTGCAAGGAACATTATTCACACAGATAAGGCAGTAGCAATAGCCCTATTCCTCGCAGAAAAAAATAAGGAGAATAGTGATATAGATTGGTTAATATTTCGGCAACGTGCCTTTTTCAAAACAATAGCAGAAGTCTATTCACACAATGGTTTACTGGTCTTAACGAGGTCAACAACCCATATATGTCTTCATTCTCCCGGCTTTTCTCCGAGGAATAAGGATATTACTTCTGTCCTATCTGAGTTTTTTAGTTTCAAAACTAGTTTGTGTGCACTTCCGATCCTGTTTATACTACTTTGATAAAGTTCATGGGTGTATAGCTGTATATCCCAGGATTGATGTGTTCCAAAGATAAGGTGATTGTTGCCTTTGCCTGATAAATAGTATTTGGGCGTATTTCAATCCAGTATGTCCATTTTATTACCGTGATATGCGCGGCGTGTCATTTGTGGTCTGCTGAGCATTGACGACGCATTAAGACCCGGTGCCCCATCGACGCCCGATTTTGGCATCGCGGCTTGCGCGACATACTGCCTGCGCCTTTGCAGTATGCGTGCCCGGTGCTTGTCTGAGCATTAGATGGACCAATGTCATGCGGTCTTTGCCTGTTTCATCGCTGGGCTTATTGGGCGTTGTGCTTGCGTCACCGATGGTCTCGTCCTAACACAGAGTGCCTGTTTTACCGTTAGCTGGACCTGTTTTTGTGCTGACTTAACGTCCTGGCGCCCGGCGACCGCTCTGCCTTTTTCAGCTTTAGCTGGACCTATTTCAGTGCTGACTACGTCCGTTTCAGTACTGCGGCGTGTGTGGCATGCTGCTGGTGACGTTTCTTACGGTGCTGTTCGCCTGCTGCCGCACCGGCAGCGGCCTCTATCTGCAGTACTGGATCGACGCCGGCGACGGACGCAAGGTAGAGTCCCTACTCGCACACAATGTATGCACACACAAGTCGGCAAAAACAAGAAACAAAAAAACAATGAGCTGAAGACAGACGACATAGACACTCCGGTACAAACACAGAATTACATCCGGTGTTTCACATAGAACAGCTTAAAGTGGGAAAACATCCTTTTAAAGGGGATTCCATACGTGCACAAATGTTCGTTCAATGTTGAGGGCTTTTTCCAAAATAACACCAGAGCAGAGCAGCGTCGGGACTCTAGGCTTTTCATAGTGGTAGGCCATGCATATCTGACCGTGTAGTGCAACCAACTTAAATGTATTTCAAGGTCGCTGCCCAAGTCAGATAAGGCAGCTATAAGGCCACTAACTGAAAAGCAGATAAGGCAGCTATCCAGCTTATATGGCAAGGAAGTTTTTGACGAAAGCATGAAACTTGGATGGCTGTCCGGAAAACCGTTCAGTTTAGATGATAATTACGACTAATTTTATTGGCCTGAAGTCCGTTGTGAAGGTCAAATTGACGGCATAAATAAACCACATTTTGAGCAGAAAATTGTTTGCAAGGTAGTTTCCTTGTTTTTAAAGTGTTCTCTTTGTTTGTGAGTTCGTTGGTCCAGAACATTTCGAATTATTAATCACTAGAATGTGAACATACTTTTTAAATTTGGGATCAGTTGAGTTGATAGTTTAAAGTGATAATATTGGCCTTAAGTCAGTTATGAAGGTCAGCTTGACGGTATAAATGGAAA